CCACACACATATATATATACATATAATTTATATAATTATATAATTTATTTATATATATATACTTTAATTTAGTAAATCATTTTTCCATTGAAATTTAAATAAAATGTTGATTCTGTATACAATGTGTTGCATTTTATTACACACACACACACAAACACACACACACACACACACACACACACTAACAGACAGGCAGAAACACACACACACATACAGACACACACACACACACACACACATATATATATATATATATACATATATATATATATATATATATATATATATATATATATATATATACATACATATATACATACCCATGCATACATAATACAAAGGGGTCGATTGAACAATCGATATATGAATGGATAGCTATGGAAAACTGTAGATGTGATGATGATGGTGAGTGGTAGTGATAATGATGATGAAGAAGAAGACGACGACGACGATGATGATGATGAACGATTTTGAAATCAATACACGTAACACTGACCAAGCGTCAAGCCTGATATATGGTGTGATGATGATGATGATTATGGCGATGTGGTGCTGATTATGATTGTGTGATGATGATGATGATGATTATTATTATTATTTTATTTTTATTATTCTAGTCATAACATAACGATGTGTAATAATTTTTATTGCAATAACTATAATAATATTGTTTAAGATGAAGATGATGATGATGAAGAAGATGACCGTTCGTTATGATGATGATGCTGGTGATGATGACGATGACGTCGATTTCGGGAAATGCGAGCATCCTGATAATGATATCGATGAAAAGGTCAAAGTTCACGCCAAGTTCAGCCGGGGTCAGAAAATGTACAACAACCAAAATGTACATACATAAATCTATACACCCTTCATACACATACATACAAACACACAAACATACATACATGCATACATACATATACACATATATACACACATACATACAAACATACATACATGCATACAAACATTCACCCAAAAATATGCATGCACGTATCCAACAACAACAACAACAACAACAACGAATATGCAAGCGTTCGCGATCTATAAATAGCAGATCATGCTAAATTGAGAACAATGATGATTATGA